TTTGCTGTTCGGGGAGTGTCGCAACCATCAAGGGGTGTACACAGAGGACCAAAACAAAGCGCGGAGGCGGATATGGGGAACAATGGGATACCTCGACCGCGCTCTCTGCTGGCTGATGATGTTGCGCCAGGACTTCTGCTTCCACACCATGGCGGATTTGTGGGGGCCTTCAGCAGCCACATTCCAGCGGGAGTTTGTGTGGATGACCACGCAGGCTACAACGCTGGAAATTCTTAACGATGTGAGAGAAGTGTTGCCAAATGCTGTGAGCTGTGCAAAACGAGTTTAAACAACAAATAATGTGGTGTGATACATCAAACCGTGACGCAAGATATCACACCCTCTCGTGAGCCATTATTTAGCTAGAATCTCGGTGAATTGTATTAAAGCAAGCGTGTAGGCGATAAAAAAGGCGGCGTTGAAGCCGTCTCGCCTAGGTTCCCAACCCCAACCCCATCTCGTTTAGTGCTTTGTGTTCGTAGTGGGGGAAAAAAATAACAAAACGCCTTGACCGGTCTGGGTGTGTGGTATATTGTGTCATCTACACAGTAGTCTATAGGTCTATATCGAAGTGTTGGAAGCGAAGCGCAGTTCTGCGTGTCTGCTGTAGCAAACCCCCGCAGTCCAGTTTTGCGTGTTTCTTGGGTGCCTTGCAATCGATAACGTAGAGATTACTATTATAGAGGAGCTTAGTGTACACGTATGGTTGTCATGCATATGGTCCGTCAGTGTGCTCTGTGTAAGGTGAGGTCGCAGACATCGCTTCGAACCCACGCGTAGTGACCATGGACCTCTCCTTTTCCGACCACGTTCTTCCAATTTCCCCAGGAGATTCAATGGCCGACGGCGGAGGAGCGCCGGGCTCAGGGAGAGTTTCTGGCCAGGGTGGCTCACCCCGATCTCGGCAACATTGCCTTCATCATCGACGGTACCAAGTCCCTCATGCGAATCCCGGCAAAGGTGCGTAACAGAGCTTCAAAGTGACGCGAGGCGTAGCGTTGTCGGTAGGTTAGGGTGACTATTTTCCACGCGACGTGAGGTCGAGGCGCAACAACAGTTAGACCCTTCGCGCGGACCTACATCGTAGAAGGGTGCTGCTGCGGAGCGATTTATTTTTTTGTCGGCACAACAATGTCGTTGAAACCGCTAATCAAGTTCGTTCGTGTTTTGGTACTTGAAAAGCAGGCCGCGAGATGCACAGGTTCCAACGACTATGACTCAACCTAACCCGCTTGCTTCTCGTTTGAATATTCCTTCCCCGAACGTCGCCGGGCAGCCTCGGGACGGCATCACGCAGGACCCAACGGCGGAGGTGAACGATATGCACTACTCCAACAACAAGGGGCTAGGGTACACCCACCAGATCTACTGCAACATTCGCGGCAAGCCGTTGAGGGTGAGCAGTCGATGGCATATATCAACAGTTCAAACCCAACACCATGGGCACTAGCGGTAATATTATATCTTCTAATCAGCTACCGAGCTCGTGCTGGGTCTGCTGAGGCCCTAACCTTGTCGTCGTTGTGTACGAAGTGGCAGTTGGGGTTGGAGTGCTTCGGACGGGACTAAGTGTTGAAGAGCTCAGCGATTCCCAGGTCTTTGCCCGCTAACGGAGCCTGTGCAGAAGAGCGTTAATTCTATCGTGTAGTGTTAAACCGACTTCATGAGATCACACGATAGAACGAGGCAAAATAAGCTACCGTTGCTATTTCCATATCCACCATGGCCGGATTGTTAAGGTACGTGCATGCGCCCATCATCTTGATTGTGCAGGCAACGCTGCACCATCAGTAACACGGCGTGTGCGCAATGTGATAGCCCTAGCCCTTCCCACCCTCTACCCCTCTCCCCGTGGCCGCCCAACCGCCCACTCAGGTGGAAACGAGAAGGGGCGCCGAGTCGGACAGAGGGGCCTACAACAACTCGCGTGTTTACCTTCAGCCAACGGAGTTCCTTTCTCCGGGTGAGGTGGGCCTGGGAGACGGGGGCTACGTGGGGGAGGCGAGGGCGGACACCGGGGAGGCAATGTGTGTGCCACTCCGTGGAGGGCATCTGACGGAAGCCGAGAGAGGGTTCAATGCTAGACAGCGCAGGATCCGGGTGGTCGTGGAGAATACTATCGGTCAAGTAAAGAAGTGGCGGGTCATTGGCACTGGCAAGTTCCGCCACCACCGAGACTTGGAGCCAGCGGTTTTCGAGTTGTGCACCAAGCTCACAGCGCGCATCATGAGGGTCAGGGACAAGTTCCCACGCAGTAAGGAATGGCTGTGGAAGGAGTACGAGGAGTGGGAGGCAAAGCTTGGTATTTTCCTGTTTGCTGACACCGAGAACCCGCAGTCGTACCTGGTCCACAACTTCGGGGCGGATCTGCTGTATAATAGCGCGACGCCAAACGGTCGTGCCACCGTGCTGCAGCACCGTTGGAACGTTATCTGGGGATTAGTAAATGAAGATGAAGAGGCCGAGCCGGAGTGGTCGTGAAATTCCGTCCGTATTCTTGATTGGAGAGGGGAATCGGACCGCGTCGGACTGAGGATGACGGTGTGTTTTGAAGTACTGAGTACCACCTTGCCAACCAGCTTGTGTCGATACTGCCTTTGGCAGATAGTCAAGGGAACTCCAACATCATCAGGAGTGTTTATTGTCCCGAGAGCAGGGATGCGCATGGCTGATTGTGGAACAATAATTCAGAGTGACATCCGAAATGATATTCGTTCTTCGGCTCGTCAGAAAGATCCGGTGAGGTCAATTCATGCTTCACCGTAATGGGTCATGAAGCACACACGGCGCGGTTCATGGATGCGAGAGCCCCCCGTCTACGTAGAAGCCTGAGTCCAACAGCACAAAGTTGCCGTGGATGGATGGGGGAGTTGTTGTGTTTCACAAAAAAAAACAAGTAACGGACGAAAATAATTAGTTCGGCCCGACGACGAGCCGGTTGAAGGGACCCTTCACACGCAGTCACCCCCTGGTGCCGCGCGACACCAAAGAACGTGTTTTGTAGTACGACATCACATTCGAACGTCATGGACAAGCCCCGCACACACACTCCTCGTCTTGAGGAGTTGATGTCCCAAGTTCTAATACGACGAACACATAAAAAAAACTTCTTACGGTTGTATGCATACGTCAGACGCACGAACCGACGGCAGTATTTCTCCGTCCCGATTTGACACAGTCCTATCATCAGAGCATGAGGCACGAGTTTTTGGTCTGCAGCCCCAAATAACAAGACAACGTACGAGCAAGGGTCGAGGCCAAACTACCTTTTGTGCTATGAATACGACAACGACAACCTAACGCGCAGTATGCCGTACCTTTCCGAAAAAAAAAAATTGCAACCACCTTGCGGCGTACCCCGACTACAACGCCAGCATGGTCCACCCCGTGGTCTGAGCATCGACTGAAATTAAGTGACGAAAAACACCACCCTTTTAGTCTAGGCGGACAACCGATACTAAAATCACTAAGCAGCCTACCCCAACTACAAGTCTACAAAGGGTAGCAACATCCTCCCTCCCCCCCGCGGGGCACGAGGCATAGACCAATTATGCGCACCACTGCGACAAACTAAAGCATGAAGGTCTTCCGACTAGAATGGACACGGGACAACCTTGCAGCGTACCCAGAATACAACGGCAGCATGCTCCACCCCGTGGTCTGATCACCAACAACAAACGAACAATCAGGCACACAATGAAAAAACCAACCATTCCGACAACAATAACACTCACGCTAATTGCGCAAAACTACCTTACCGCCTACTACCCCAACTACGAGACAGCACGATCTAGACCGTAGTATGGGCAACAACAAGAAACAAACCAAGTTAAAACACGAGAGCTACTCCTACAAACCACGTTGAAGCCTGCCCCAACTGCAAGGGTAGCATCGTACCCCCGTGGTACGACGCATAAAACAATAAACAACCAAGGTGACAAACTAAAGCATAAAAACCTTACAGCGTATCCCGATTATCATGAGGGCAGCACCTAACCACCCGTGGTGTGAGCATCAACAACCGCAAATAAATGTAAAACGAACCATTCGACATAAATAAATCAGGAGATAAATGTCCAACCCTACCCCAAGTACAAGAAGACGGGATGCTCTGTACCGCTGTATGAGGCACGACAAAAATATTAACCTGACAATAAGGAACACCATCCCTCCAAAAATAAGACGAGACACAATGACATCGAAGCCGACGTCGACATGTCCGCTTCAATTAACTCTCCCCTGAACCTCTTCGCCTCTGTCCACGTTTGGGTTGTATGAGGCCGAACAAGCAACGAACAACGCGCGGAAAAACATCTGCATTTACCTAAAAATGAAAAAGCACAAAACAACCTCCAAGTCTACCCCAACTACAACTGTTAACTTTGGCAGAGCCTAACCCACCCCGTCGTACAAGACATAACCGAGAGGTGAACGACAGTTACCATCTGGCAGAAAAAAACAACAACAGAACTCAATGAGTGACAACTAAAACATCAAGAGTCAACCTACCCTGCAACAAGCCGTCCCGTTCCAACTAAGGCTCGAGGTTCAGAATACGGACGTCCACGTGCACACGATGCTAGCAAGTAAACACGGAAAGGCAAGGCCAACTACGGCGGCACCCCAAAGCCCAGCTATTTACCGGAACTAAAAAAAAACGAGGGGGAGGGATTATTTCAGGACATCCTCTTGAGGTACACGTGTTTGTGGATCGTCTTCATTACAAATTTAGCCGTGTTAGCCGAGAAATTTCCAGAGCCTGTTTCAAATAGGTCACGGTTGAACTTCTTGTCCCTGGCGTCGAATACGAGGCTGCGGATGTCGTCGTCGTAAAGTTCCGAAATGGCTTCCCTCTCCGCCTCGGCTTGGACCGTGGGGCGCACGTCTGCCCAGAAGTCGCCGAAGGTCGTCCACGGGATGGGCTCGCCGTCCTCCAAGGGTGGATATTCCGAGGTGGAGTTCTGGATAGCTTTCGCGATTTTCGCCCCCTGAGACGGCGGAATGGAGGGAAGGGCAAATTTGCGGCCGGGACCCTTTCACCTTTTACACCTCCAAGCGATACACGTGGGTTGTGAAGAATTTCGGCTGCGTTGCTTGGGCATTTTCGTTTCACTCCCCAACTACAACAGTTAGTCCTTTTGGCAGTTTCGTGAGTGTGGTACAGAACGAAAACGGGCTACAACGCGACATATGCTTACAAGTAGGAGGCTTCGGTCGTACTGCATTCCCAGGTTGACAGACACGAGACGCAACAAATTTAGGGAGCGTTCAAGGCAGGTCTCGGCATGCAATAATCATATCAACCCCCCAAGGAACCGACTCATGAATGTTTTCATGATTGTTTGAAGGATCACCTGCTCGAGCGACTTGCGCCTAAAATCTTTCAGTGCCACATCGTTCCGCTCCCTGACTTGGTCCATCTTCTCCTGACGCTCGTCCATCTTCTCCTGGCGCTGCACAACACGCCTTGTCTCCGCGGCCTGCAACTCGGCTTGGTCCTTCGCCCTCGCTGCAGAGCTGTCCATGAAGGCGGCGAAATCAGGTTTCGCCTTGCCGTGGGTGTCGAGGGCATCCTTCAGCTTGCCAGCTATCTCGTTCACGTCACCCACAGCGTTCTGACGGATTTTGCGGACCGCCATCTGGGACGAGAGGGGAGGGCAATGAAAAATGAGTTTGGACAGAGGGGAGACGGTTGAGTGGGCTTCCGGTTGGACTGCGCTCAGCGTCTGGACTGTAGTGTAAATCCAATTCGATGGGAAACGCCGTGCTTGCGATTAGTGCTGTAAGAACCCTTCCTCTAGCCCCTAACCCTGAAACGATGCTATATTTTTCATCGATTGCGACAGCTGTCCCCCTTCCACCCCCACCATCCCATGTTAGTAAACAGCGTTTCACGCTAACAACGACAACGAATGTAAAACAACAAACATCACACTGGAAAAAAATACAGGGAACTCCAAGGGCAGTGTAGGGACGTAATTGTGACCATTGAACGCTGCGAGCCCTATGACATTCCGCCGGGGAATCGACAACGCGCACTACTTGGCATCTAACTTTGTGGCGCATCCCACCTTTGAAGCCTTCTCCTTCTTCCCGACATCGATGGCGCCCTGTTTGGCGGCATCGGAGTCGCCAACTGTTGAGGCGTCGAGGGCTCGGATTCCCTCCATCGTCTCCCTCACTGCACGCCAGAAGTTGTTCGTGTCATTGTCGTTGGCCCTGAGCACAAAAAGTAGGACCATGAGGTTTGTTCACGGGATTATATCCTTGCTCCGGACGGGGGAACCTAGTTGCTGTTAAGTCGGAGGTCTGTTAGTCGTGACTAGCAACCACTATATTACCGCAAGCGGGAAAGAGTTACAACAAGCGGCCACGTGCTTTTACTTGTATGCGATGCGGTCGGCATCACGGCATCACGTGCATACCACACCCCTGGACCAATTGTTAAACATCCAATCCTAGGAAGGGTGATGCAGAAACACTACCATGTTGGATTGTCCCCCCACCGAGTACTTGTTTTTTTTCATCTCCGACGTCGCGGAGGAGTCGAGCTATCTGTAGCCACGAACGGCACGAACGGCACCTGATTCACTGCTGTTCATTTACAAGTTTAGTGCAGGCATGGTCAAACATTACTGAAGAAGCATAACTGGTATGTTCGTGGCGGTGTTACGATTGCCCCCGAATGGTATAGTCAAACGTGCCTTGTAGTAAAAAAGCGTTGTTAATGTGTGGGTACATTACATGCAGGAGTAAACAATATGGCGGTTACGAAACAATTTCGCCGCGTCTCGCACCCAGCAGTCCGCGACAGAAAGTATTTGATTCATTTTTAGGAACGACCGTGCTGTATTTGTGTGTGTTTTTTGTATTGGGTATTGTTACTATTTACCTGGTACTATTTTCAGGTCGGGCAAGGTCGGGGCAATGTAGACTAGACTGCTGTGTTTTCGTGTTTTCTGCTGACACACAAATTACACGCTCAGCCGTTATACATTTTATTAATGGCGACCTGATAATTTTTTCGAATAAAACAGCAGTGGCTGCGCGGATGACATACTGCTGTATGTACAGCAACTCGACAACAACGGTACTCACTTGGATGCACTCCTCTGCCACTTCACAAACGCCTGTTTGGTGCCGGAGAGGAAGTTCTTGAAAGTCGTAACGGTGGGCAGCTTCGTGGTTACCTGTCCTCCGAACTCGGTCTTTTCGGAGTCGTCGAGTCCCTCGAATTCCAGCAGTGCTTCCCTGGCTATCGCGTTGGCTTTCTTGTAGCCCTGCGCGGTGGTCTTGTACAAGAAACCGCCCTTCATGGCGGCGAGAAGGCGGCGTGGGTAAATGGCTTTCCACTTCCTGTTGTACTGGCCTTGTTGCTGAATTTGTTGCTGCAGCTTCGTCGCGGCCTCGGTCCCATGTTCCATTTCGTACTCCATCAGGTCCGCCAGCTGTGGGCCTGTCAGCTCCGCTTCATTGTGGGCAACACCACCGTTTGTGGTGTCGTCACGAGCCCCATCGCCGGCGGCAGTCCCATCCTCTAATAATCCCTCGTCTTCACTGAGTCCGTCGCAACTGCCAGTCGTGAGGCCAGAGGTGGTAGGAGCTAGCGTGTTGCCCGAGCGAGAGGACGGTGCCACCGACTTCTCAGCTGCTACCATCTGACGCTCCCTGCCGTGAGAGGGACGCACATTCTCCGACCCCCCAGGTTCGAACCGTCGCTGCACACGGCGGGTAGGAGCGCTGCATGCTAGGGAGTTGACTGCGGTCCTCTTGGAACCAGCCTGCCCACCCACGAATCCGGGGAGGGATGGCTGCGGCCGGGTTGCTAGAGGCTGCAACTCCGCGCCTTCTGCGAAACTATCTCCTGCGAGAATATTTCCTCTTGAACTGCCCCCGGGTTGCTGCTGCATATCGTACTCGACGGCTTGTCCTGCTTGCGCCGGGTACCTTTCGGCCACGCGCTCGCCTGACATGTCCACGTACGAAGTACGTTGGTGATACACACCCGCACTGAAAACTCCGCCGCTGCTGCTCCACTCGCGTCCCACGGGAGTACGGGACGTATGCTGCTGCTGCTGCGGAGGCTGCTGCTGTCCTTG